GACCTACGAACTACCCAAGTAATGCAGCTCAAGAGCTCCACATTTTGCTTGTTATTTCTGAGAATTTTTAAGTATTCCTATTTAGATTTAGATCATAGTTTTAGTTTGTCTATCAATGATTTTCTTAAAAGAAACTCTGCTAATCGGCTTTTCGTGTTTCTAATACAAATCTCAAACCTTAGCCGCCTTGCCATTTCCAGTTTCATCTTCATCAAAATCCTCTTAGATCTCATGCTGTCTCAAAGTTGGAGCGCATTTTAATGTTCTTCGAGGTAAGCAGATTCATCTCCGGTTGGATTTCACACCGTGGCGGCAGTTCCCCAGGTGCCTTGTGCACATTGGTTGGCAGCGGCTGTGGCCGTGGCCAAAAGGAAGTAATCCATTCTGCGGGCAGTTTTCAATATCACTTTCAGCGACAACTTCCTGCGCGTCGCATCATCAAAAACTGTTGGCACTTTGCATACAAATGTGGCCCGGGACCGTGGCAAAACTTATCGCAACATTTTAATAACTGCCGGCAACAGTAGCCAACTCCATTTGTTGCCTCTGCCTCAGAGCAGGCTTTGCATCGGGCTGAGCCTGAGCCATGGCAGCTTTCATTAATTACCAAGAAAAGCGAGTTTTTAATGCCGCTGCACTTTTCCTGCCAGTCAGCCAAGTCAACTTCGCTCAAATCTAAGTAGTCTATATATAAGTATTTTTCCGCAACTGGCCAGCACGTCAACAGGTTGGCTTTGGCCCTAACTGGGCAGGGCTTCTGGCTCCAGCTGGTGCTGTGGATGCGGTGGATGCGGCTGGTTCTTATCTAGCGTCAACATCACGCAACATGCGCGTAATTTTATGAATGAAGTGCTCGCTGCCGGCCAGGATTCGACTCGTATTCGTACTCGGAACTGGTCAGGCAGGCTCTTAATTGCACTCGCACCTATTTTTTACAGCATCAGCAGCAGCAGCAACAGCAGAGTAGGAGCCAGGCAGGCAGACGGGCAGCAGTAACAACAGGCAGCAGGCAACAGTTTGTCAGCTAGGTTAACAAATTGCGTTAAAGCGTTGCAGCTATCGTGAACCGGTTTTCTGCACATCTGTGCCTTGTTCTGGCGCACTTGTTGCATCAACAACAGCAACAACAACAACAACAACAACAGACAGACATCACATGAACCTGGCCAAGATGCAGCACTGAACGATGCCTTTTCACTTGCTGACTGCGACGCGCTTATTAAATATGATTATGCGTTCGATTGCAGTCAGCTTGGAGTTTGGGCCTCGCCACCAGAGACTGGGCACAAGCACAGGAAGTGAAGCCGCGCCAGGCGTCGTCACATTGGCAGTCATGCTTAGAACATGCCTAGAACCAAGCGAATGTACAGCCCACCAATTCCCTGCCCCCAGCCCCCTGCCACAATTCATGGCCTTGGCTGGCAACGGCTGCCGCCAACTGCTGCCCACTTTTAATGAAGTTTTCCGTTTCGTGCCGCCATTGGCTTTACTAGCTGCCTCTTAGCTCTCGTCGTATGTAGCTTCTATAATACACTACAATGAGAGCACGGATTTGGTAAGGCGAGCGCGTAGCTGCAGAAATATATGCACAAGTAAATTTCTAATTAATAGCTGGTTAAATCCAATGGATAATAGAGAGCTTAAATATTTGCATTAATTATCATTATTAATGGTAACAAATTAAGTTTATAAAAAATATATTGAACTAGCCAACGGTAAACGCTAGAATTCAAAATAAAATACAGCATCATCATTTTAATCATTTTAATATTACATCATTAGAGGCATATTCAAATATTATTCTTAAAAAAATTCGCAAGAATCAAAACTTAGTTTTTTTTTTGGCAAGTTCTTTTTAATTCAATTGAACTACAGATTGAAATTATCGCTTTGAGGATATGTTATTATTTTCTTGCATACATTTTTTTTTAGATAAAAGCACATCAATAGACTTCCAGAGTCGGTAAGTGTAAGAGTATCGACTTTCTGGCGTATCCTTTTTTTTTACTTCTTGCTCTTGTTTTGCAATTGTAAAGTTGAGTAAAATAAAAATCCATTGCCCGTTCAAATGCTTTAATTAAAATTTAATGAATTCACTGTATTTAATTATGCATTGTTTCTGTTTTGATGCTGTTCTTGTTTTTGTCGTTGTTTCTGTTGCTATTGCTGTTGCTGTTACTGTTGACACTCGTTCTACGCACTTAAAGCATGCTGAAAATTAATTTTAATTGTTTTGTTGCTGTTTGCTTCTGAGTGCAGCAAGTGGCAATCTAGACGAGATTATAGGTTCCCATAATAGGCTACTAGGCTAGGGCGTTGCAATAGCAGGCAGCAGGCAAAATGGTAATTAAAATAACATTTATTTCATTTTATTTGTAATGGAAACATATTCTATTATGCTCATATCAAATTTCTGTGCAATTGCAATTGCAGCCTTTTGAAATTGCAACTTTAATTAACTGACATTTTACGGACTCGACACATAAACAAATACTCGATTTAATAAACAAAGAAATCAAATGAAAGAAAACAAATCGAATCGGTTTTTTGTGCATTACGAACTTTTAGCAACAAAATGAAAAGCGTAAACAAATTACAAACAAAAAACAAGTAGCCAATTGAAAAGTAAAATACAAATTTGTTAAATTCATTAATATTTAAATCAGAATCTAGGACACGTTGACCTGCTTCCTCAACATGTGACAATAGCACTGCTTGTGTAAATTGTGCGACATAAACAATTTGCTTTGCATTAATCTATATATATATATACACATGTTATATATAAACAAAGAATTAAAATATGCAAATTGAAAAATAATAAAAGTTTTAATATTTAATTTGCATTTTTGTAATAAAAATAAATTGAATTTATAAAAAAAAAATTACATATACACTCCTTATTTTTTTATGTCATCTTTTAGTAGGAGGGAAACACATTACTAAAGCAGCTTATAAAGTAGAGAGAGAGAGACAGAGAGAGCAAATGCAAAAGAACACATTATAATGGGAATATGAGCAGATATAATGTTTATTAGATTGCCAATAACTATTATTACTAGAGACTATTTCATAACATGGAAGTTTAATTTGAATTCATAAAAAAATACGTTTTTTAATTTGTTGCGCAGCAGGGAAATTTTAAAAAAGTAAAATAACTTTTGTCTGCTTCTGATATGATAAAACATACCATCGCATATAAATCGAATCATAAGCCAAAAAAACTTCAACCTTTTTTCATGGATTTTTCATATTTCCGAGTGGAGTTTGCATAAAGGTTAACCATTGCAAATAAATTTAACTTCGTGCTGTGCGGCGATCACCAGTCTGTCAACCGGTTTGTCAATCAGTCAGAACAAACAGTCATATTTATATATATACCAGCGGGAATACTTGCCCGTGGCACGTATAAGTTAAATTCTCTCAAAGATCTGATGCGGGTGAAATGTCCCAAATCGCTGAAACACGTATTCATTAAATTCTCATGTAGAACTTTGATAACATTTTCACCGAGGAAGCTTTGATTTTGTGAAAAATGTTAAACACGACTCAAATGAGTAGGAGTATAGATCCTTAGATATAAATTTGAGCGCGAAACGTCACATGAGCGGAGTCACGTTCACACCATTTCAACAAAGAAGGGATAGATTTCTTAAAAAGTGCACAACACCCATCAGATAAACGTTGACAACGATCTTAGAAAATGAGTTTAAGGCTGATCGGATGGTAAGCCCAAAAGCTTCATACAAAACTTGTTCGCGCTTTTTTACACATGCGGGAGGAATTTCCCGAAACCCCGACATAACACGCCACTTTATCACATAAGGTAACTAGAGAATCCTTGCTATTACGGCTTGGGCTGTACATAAATCACCAATCAGTCAATCAGTCGGTCAGTCAGTCAGGACAAAAAATTTTATATATAGAGATAGATTTTCATATAAATACATGCTCTTAGCGTAGACAACATCGTATGCAAATGACTTAATTCTGGGGGCAGTGAAAGCTGGCCCAGACTAATTCTATGATCCGCTAATGCAGCCGCCATAAATTAAGAAATAAATATTATTAAATGTGTCATTAATTAAGCGAAACAGCGATGCTATTAATTAATAAAATTTCTAAGCAAAAAGCCGACGCCGTTAAGTCTAGCCCCAAAAACAATTAGGCAGCATTTAAGGTGTAAGCCGGCACGCCTACCTAACAGAGCCCACAGCAAAAATGGTGGCACAAGAATAATGAACAAAGCCAAGCGCTGATTGATGGTAATAGACAAATTTGAGCTCTGCGGCCGAATCATGTGGCATAATGAAGCAGGTGGCTAGGCGGCCATTCGTGGGCGTTAAGTATCAAGCGGGCATCCACAGAAATCCTATAAATAAGTTGGTTGAAGGAATATGTAGAATTTTAATTTTTAAAAATTTGTAAGTTATTTATTCAAATACTTTTGTTTGAAGTTACAAAAATTTGTTGTGGGTGATTTTTTTTTTTTGTAATTTTTTTCAATTTTTGTATTTTTTTTCTTTGATGTGAAATATTTTAAATATTAATTTCATTAATTACATACATATATAATTTATTTAAATTTGATTTCATATAGTACACATGCTATCTTGTTTAAATGCAAAGATCTGAAATCTAAGTTTAATTAACACTTTATTTAATTTTCGCGTTAGTATTTCCCTTTTCTGTTTTTTATTTAACATAATTTTTGGCGCTTGCGCGTTTACGCATATTTTATCATGTATATATTTTATTGTCATGCATGATAAAAAGTCGTTAGATTTGTGTAAATATGGTATATCATATATATGTTTGTGTTTGTATATGTGTATGTACTTATACTATTTTAAATTGGCTCTTAAAACTAACGAAAGTCGCGCTTAAAAATAGTTTTATAATTGAAATACGCTTAACGATTTTCTTCTGTTTTATTGTGATTTCGAATCGTTTGTTTTTCTTTATTTTTATAATATTTTTTTTTTTTGTGTTTTGAAAATCGTTACGCCTATTGGGCTTATAAGAAGGTATATAGAGATATTGGTATGTCTAGAGCTTAAACTTGAACAACTGCTAATGAGAATGAGTCACGACTCAACAGACTCGTTAATATTTACGCTAAATGCTAAAAATCGTAATTGCTACTACTTAATATCAAGAAAAATGCCTACAAATTAATATTTGAGTGTTGTTTTGTATCCACTAATGCTGCTGCTTATTCTTCTTCTTCTATTTCGTCTCTTGTCGTTGTTGTTGTTGTATTTGTTGTTGTTCGTCGGTTGTTGGTTGATGATGAGAGGGGGCAAGCATTTGTAGAGTGGGTTGCGCACCTGCCCCAAAGGCTAATCCATTGCCATTGGCATCGGCATCGCCATCGGCATCGGCATCGCTTCGATTGATTGATGTGGATCCAAGTTTTGATGTGCGTGCTGGGTATCATGATGCGGTTGGCCGAGTCGTGTCGTTTCGAGTCGGTTGGAGTGGAGTGGAGAGCCTTGGATACAGGTACTTATCACAGCCTTCGAGCGCCGCATGCAAATGTCTTTTCTCAAAATACATTCAACATGTTTCCTCCATTTGCGCTCCATAATAATCAACGTCATTTAGTAATAATTATAAACAGAAAACAAAAAACTTGCAACAGCAACAACCAAACCCTAGCAAAAAGCATCAACAAAAACTCATATTGACTGAAATTGACTCTGTCTCAATTTCATTATGTATCCGTTGTTGGTGTTGTTTCTAATTTTGGTGTTGGCTTTGTTTTGTGATGTGTTATGTCAATCAGTCCAGCTGGGTTTGGCTGGTGTTTGTTGTCTTTCGTCTTTGACGTGCTGCATGGTTTAGTAGGTCTGTCGAATCAATTAATCAGAATTAGGGAGAAAAGCGAAAGAAAATGGTTATTAAGTATAATAATCCAATATAAAAAACCTAAAATCCACCAATGAGTGTAAACAATTTTAATTATTTTTAACGAGACAAGAGCCATTATATCTAGCTCTATTAAATGAAAATAATAGAAAAGAAACAGTCCCTTTTCTGTAACTAACTATTAGCTATTTTAAATGAAATCTTAAACTTACCACTGGTGGATAGGACATGTATTTGTCGCTCATATTGAAGTAGGAGCCGTCGGCTGGCGGCGCCGGTGATGGCGATGATATGTAGCTGCCCTTGATGACCAACGAGGAGGCAGGCGATGGAGATGGTATATACAGGCCATTGGAGATCAACATGTGATCATCCTTGGCGCGCATGGGCATGCCCTCAATCAGGCCCGTTGCGCTGTTGCGTTGACTATGCCGCTTGGGATTGGGCAGGGTGCGCGTGAAATCTGGATTGCACAGCGGATAGGGTGGCGTGCACATAGAGCTCTCCTGGTATTTGGGTGGATATGCCGTGGACTGTATGATGTCCACGTTCTCGACGAGATATGTGGAAGCGGCCGCCTTCTTTTGCACGTCCGCCTGCAATGCAGTGATGGGCAGCTGGTTAGGATTAGTCCAATCAGTCTGCAGTTCAATATTTGCTATTAGCTGTAGCCCATTTACCTTATAGACAGACTGATTGTCATCCTTAGAGTAGGCATCATCATTGCTGGGCTCCGTTTCGCCTTGTGTCTTATTCTGCCGCCGTATAACAAACCAGGCTACAAGTGCAGCATTCAACACCAACAGCACCATGGCCGCGGAAGTAATGCCAATGATCATGACATTGGGCAACTCATCCTTTTCGGTATACTCCGCAGAATGCGGCTGAGAGCCCTTGCTTAGCGTGAGCTTGATGTCCGGCAGAAATTTGCTGCCGCCTGCCTCATTGTGCGCCATCACAGAGTAGAAGTAAGTGCCGCCGGGCTTTAGACCCTCCAGCGTGATGTTTTGTTGGCCTACCTTGGCATCCATGTACTTGTATTTATCCTCACCCTGCTGCTTGAAGCGCACTCGATAATACACCTGCATGCCGCCGTCAAAGCCAGGTGTCCACATCAGCTCTACGCTCGTATCGCTGATATTGCCCACCCGAAGCTGCAGAGGCGTATCCGGTCGCGTGGGCTTACTAAACTCCAGAGTTGTACTGGCCTGACCCATTGAATTACGCACCACACACTCGTACTGTCCATAGTCATCCGCCGAGGTACTCTCCACAAGCAAAGCGGATTCAAAGTGCAGCGGATCCACCTGGCGCTCCACGCTCGTGAATTTGTTGCGTCGCTGCATCTTGAGATCCTTGCCATGGCGACGCCAAATGAAACTGGGCTGTGGCGAGGCCAAAGCACGGCAAATGAGCTGTGCCCGAACGCCCAAACGAGCTGCAAAGCGGGTGTAGCCGGGCGAGTGATCAATCTCGGGGGATGCTGCAACCAATAAGGTATTCGATGTTAACTGCTATCGAGGATTGCACAAGAGATGCTCTGCTACTTACTCTGTACGACAAGGACAACACTCTTTGAGGCTGCCGGTCCACGTTGATTGTCCACAGTGCAAGTGAAATTGCCAATATCCCCACGCTGAACATTATCAATGTGCAATAGTGCGGTGTTGTTCTCAAAGGTGGAAGTGGTGCGTGTGGATAAATCGTAGCCGGGTCGTGACCAACGCACATGGGCTGCTTCCAGTGGACGGGCTTGCACTTGACAGGCTAGGACAGCCTGTGCGCCAGATGCAAAGCTTTGACCCTCCGTGACAGAGGTAATAATGGGTGCATCTAATTGAAGAGCAAAATCAGCAACTGGCCAACTTATCGAGGTCGCCTTGGCTACGGCTACCATATGACTACTTACATTCTACAATCACTTGAATCTCCAGCATGGCTGTGCCTTGTGTGTTGAGTGCCTCGCACACATAGACTCCTGCGTCGTTGCGGCTCAGGCGACTTATATTGAGACGAGGTCCATCAGATATCAAACGCTGGCCGCTCAAGGGGTTGCTGCTAATGGGCAGACCGTCCTTTGTCCAGGTATAGCTAATGGACATGGGATTACCACTGGCATGTAGTTCCACTTGTAGTGGTGCGCCTTCCACGCCCACAAAGCTGGTAATCTGAGCAACGTCGAACTTGGGAGGAACTATTCGCGATAGAGGTGGCTATTCAGATGAGATATATCGTCATTGGATTGCTGGGAGGCACTTACAGAGTATGTCCAGGCTGATGGTCTCGTGAACGCTGCGCTGCAGCACTTCGTTGTGACTTTGACAGGTATAGATGGAGCCATCGAGATCTTGGGTAATGTTCACGTGCATCTCCAGTGTGGACACCGAACCGCCCCAGAGACCAGGCCTATTGGCCAGATTGAGTCCTTCCACTGGTATGCCATCCTTCCACCAGCTGATTTTCGCGGGTGGATTGCTCGAGCTGGAATCACAAATGAGTTTGGCTCGAATGCCGGGCACTAGGTTCTTGGGGGCAACACTTATTTTGACTGTCTCCGGTGGAACTAAATGGGCAAAGCAATCACAGTAGATGAGGAACCAGCCCAGAAGGCTTGAGTCAGTCGAATTACTTACAGTGTACGCCGAGAGTCTTTGTGGCGAATAATGGTATCTCGATAGCCGCATTTTGAACCTCACATTTGTAGATGGCATTGTTATCGGAGGCATTCACCAGCAACGACAGCTCCGAGCTGATTTTGTTATCGGTCACCTTCGAAGCGGCATTCAGGCGCTTATCGTTCTTGTACCATTGCAAAGCGGGAGGTGGATTGCCACCAGCGGAGCTGCATTGCAGTTTTAGAATCGAACCGGAGATGAGAATGTCACCATCGTTGTAGCCGGTCAGTAGAGGCGGCGAGGGAGGATCTGTGGAACAGAAGCGGCTAAAGCAAACTGCGAGTAACTGACCCTAGGTTCCTGATCCACTTACACAAAACATTCACCGTGTGCGAACCCACAACATTCTGAGAGAGCTCCGCGTTGAGCGCATGACAAACGGTGATGAAGGTCCGACTCTGAGAATCGATATTCAAGGTTATGTTGGAGCTGCTCACCCAGCCACCATCAGCGCTGATTGTCGTCTTGTAAGTGCTGTTACTCAATGGACGCCCATTCATGGACCAGCTGATGCGCGCTGGAGGATTGGAGGGAGCTGTCACGCAGTTCAACTGCACAGCGTCGCCGACTTTTGCATGGGTAGCGCCGCTCAGGAAAACATCCTTCGGTGCGTCTGTATAGAAGGAGCTTGGCGTTACAGGCAACTGGGGACTTATGGCTAATCTGCGCAACTTACATAGGACTGTGAGATTAAGTTCGGCACGCAACGGAGTATTGGACAGCAGGTTTTTAGCCTCGCAGACCAAATTGGCGCCATTATCCGATGCATTGGCCGTGAATTTGTACACATTTTCCGAGAGGCGACCCGACGTGCGTTGCGGTGAATTGATAACCTCGCCATTGCGATACCAAACCAACTGTGCTGGAGGATTGCCACCACGACTGCGACAAGCGATTTGAACCTCCTGGCCACGACGCAAAGTCTCACCTTGGCTGTAGCCCTCAAAGAATGGCGGGCCAGGTGGGTCTGATTGGATGTGGTGGAAGGAAGACTTAGTTGCTGGCGAATACAATTTAGGGGTTTCAGGACTTACATAGCACAGAGAGCTGTACTTGAGCGCGCATCGGCACATCCGGAGGCAGCGCCTTGTGTCGCGCCTCGCAGGAGAATTCCTTGTAGTCATCGTCAGAACGCGGCTGCAAATGCAACGTGGAGCTGGTGCGGAAACGCTTGGCCGATGTTTGATTTATTGAGACAATGGGCGCTGCAGGAGGCAGCCAAGTTAGACATCGCGAAATAGACATGCTAGAGCTATAACCTTACCCAAAGTCATCGGCGTCTCGCCCTGATACCAGACAATCTCTGCCGCCGGATTAGCATTCTCCGTGATGCACTGTAGCGTTAGGTTTTGACTCTCGATGACCTCCACCTTGGCGTTGCGTGCATAGCCATCAATGGAAATGCTGCTGGGTGCTGCCACAATGCTGAGTTTGGCATTGGCGCGAATGGCCTGGTTGCCAGCGGCCGGGCCCACCTGGCACTGGTACTCAGCATCGTCCTCGAGCGTGGCGTTCTTAATTTGCAAATTATATATGCCATGGGCGGCATCCACCAACACCGAGTAGCGCGGAAAACCGGGAATTACTGCTGAGAATCCTAACGCGAAGCCATCCTTTGTCCATTGAACCTTCCCTGCGCGCGAGGACACCTCACAGCGCATCAGCGTATCTGTGCCCTCCAGTATTTGTAGATCGTGAGGGGTAACGCGGAACTTTTGCACAGCGGGTGAGGCGGCCGATGGGGTGACTACCTGGGCACTGCAGGTGAAGCCAACTGGGAGAAAAGAAAAAGAGGAAATTCGCATATTGTTAATCGGCACGTTCGACAATTGCGCACGTAGTTGGCAACTGCAGCAGGCGGCAGCGAGCACATAGTTCAATTGGCAACGCAATCGACGAATCGACCTGTCACACGGCCCAGTCACAGCCACAGTCACAGTCACCGTTACAGTTACCTACTTTTCGCAGCCCACACATAAAATAACCATTACTTAAGCGTAAGACCCAACGACGCAGCCCAGTCACATCTCACTAATTTGGAACAACTTTTATTTTATTTTTTCTTGTTTTTTTTTTTCTTGTTTTTTTTTTTTTTTTTTATTTGTTTCGCACACACATGGCTCCCATGTGTGTAGGTGTATGTGTCAGGGCACTTTCAGACTGTCATTGAGACATGGACATGTCTGTCCGCCCGTCCGTCTGTGTCTCAGTCTTCATCATGGTCTGCCCGTTGCCAGTCTGTGTGTCGCTATATCAACCCACACCGAAACGATGTAGGTCTCCAGCTTGCGGCTCATTAGCATTAAAATGTCTTAAAGAAAAGAGCAGGCCACGTTCGATACCAAATTGAACCGACTACTTAGCTGTGTCTGTGTTCGAGTGTGTCCGTGTGTGAGTGTGTGTTGTCGTCGACCTAATCAGCATTAGAGCAATCTACAAACTTGTACGGAGGGCTGAAGAAAATTCTTGTCAAACTTTGCAAAAGCTAAGATCTAGAAAACTATATTAAATTTATCAAATAAAGTAGGAGCTCCGGTTAGATGAGTTGCCTAAGGGACTCAAACATTCAAACTCCAATCTTAGGATATAATATAAGGCAGCTCATAAGCATTACTCATTTATTAATGTATAAAAAGTGCTAATGAAAGCCAACGATGAAGGTTAAATTAATATTCAGTTCCACATATCTCTAATGACATTTTTATTTCCCAACTAGCATCTCATTTTTAAATCAATTTAAGTCGCTCCATATTTCAAATTGGCATTTAGCTACTGCTATTAATTAACATTCAGAAAGCAACACATAATTCTCAGCTTATTTGAAACTTGACTGCCAATCAAAACAAGTTCAATTAGTTCCATTCCATATAATTCAATTCCCAGACAAGCCAAAGCTAAATTAAACTGGTTAAAAAAAAAGACAATGTGTTTTTATAAAAATATGTATAATTGATTGCATAGTTTTTGTGCCACTGTGCGGGACAGGAACCAGCAAAGGCAAACATCCAAGCGCTGCGTGAGACGTGCCTACAAATGGTTCAACAAATAAACGTCGCTGTCGTGGACTTCATCAATGGATTAATTGATTATTTGTCGTACACAACAGCCGGGCCGAGGCTGCACGGTCTTGAAACGAGCTCGATTTCCGTTGGACTTGGGCACGAAATGAACTACAAATCAATATATGTATATATATATATATATATATTTATATATATATGTATACACATCTGCATAAAATAGAGCTATCCATTGGATATGATTTGGTAACAACGGAAACGCAATGCAGCGACCACCCGCAGTTGCAAGTTAGTCATTCGTTATTCTTGGTGTTGGGGGCGCGCTTCAATTTGCATTGGGCCGCATTAACTTGGCCCAAAGTTCAAGCAATTAAGACCAAAGACCAAGAGAGACAGTTGACCAACTGCAACATTTCCTGCGGCAATTAACCAACAACAGCAACAACAGTAACAGCAACAGCAACTACAAAACTGCACAACTTGACAGGTTTTGCGATGACAATGACAACGACAACGACAACAACAACGACGAGAAAAACAGAGGCCAAGCCCAGGCCCCGTCTCCGGTTGGCTACAACTCATTTAGTGTCATTACGAGGTGCCCCCCAACCCCTCTTGCATATACATATGTACTTATACATTTGTATATGTATACCTTGGCACATGCAAGAGAATAAGCAATGGGTAATTGTCACACATATGCAAGGCAGGATGGCCAACAAAGAAATCCTTGAAGTGTGACAGTAGGAAGCACTGGCAGAGCACAGTTCAGAAAATAAAAAAGAAAACACAGGCTGCAAAGTGAAGTAAATGAAAGACGAACAGAAGGTGGCTAAAGTAAACCGGTTTACCATTTCATTCATGCGTTCTGGCCGGTGGCCAGTGGCCAGTGGCCAGTGTCTGGTTGTCGGAGGTCGGGGCGCAAGGAGTCAGCAGTCAGCAGTCGGTTCTCAAATGCTCTTCCAAGTGGCTGTAATTGTCAACTGGGCCCACAAATTGTACGCAAACTAAACTAACAGCTTAACCGCAAAACCGTTCCATGCCAGCCGATGTTGATGATGCCGATGCCGATGCCTATAACGCTGCCGATGCCTCTGCCAATGGCGATCCTGTGACTCCGTCTCGAACTCGGCCACAAGTTAAGTGAGTGTGTGAGCTGGCCTAGGCGCAAAGCTTGCTAATAGTTTTGAGCATGGACTACGTCTACGTGTGGCAATGGCAAGCGAAGCGCAACGCCGGATGTCGCACTAATGGTCAGCAGCGCAACCCCTTGCTCGCACAGTCCCTGCTCGGGCGCCAACCTTATGTGCACTGTACTCCACGCCTCTCTGCTTTGTAAGTTAAACTATCTACAAGTCATTAACTCATATAAAGCCAGCGACTGTCGCACAGCAGGCAGGCAGCAGGCCAACAACGTGTGCAACAGAGACCGAGCGATGTTGCTGTCCACAGACAATCCATACTGAAGTGGCCTGGACCTAAACCTGAACCCGGCTCGGGGAACTGCTACTCTTCTATTCTCGTACTCTGGACCAACGCACATTTTGCTCAATGCTTTTGTTTTTTTTTTTCCCTCGCCGTCTGTTGTCCGTTGTTGTTTTTATTTTTGTCTTGTTTCTTTCTGCTGCTGCTGCTGATGTTGCTGCTGCTGATGCTGTTGCTGCTGTCTTATCAAGACCAGTTTCCAGTTTTGCCGCTGTTTCTGTTTTCGGTTTGCTGTGTTTGCCTGCAACTTCAGTGCGTTAATGGAAAATATTGTGGCATATCACAGGAAATCCGGTGAGGTTTTTTCTCGCACTCCTTTTTGCGTCAGGACACTTAGCGTGCACACAGTCAGCAACAACATGAACAAGCACAGCAGCAACAACCACAGGAACAACAACAGCACGAATGACTTTGACAAAATTAACGGTCACATAAATCTTTGCCATAGAGCTTCTAGGCGCTCTTTGCGGCTTTGCGTTATAAATTTAATTAAAATTTCTTCCTTTTTTTCAATGTTTTTGTTGTTGTTGTTGCTGTTGTTTTTCGTGGCGCGTTTTGTTAATTTAACAAATGTCTTTTATTATATTGATTAAAGCGGCTTTGGTGTCAAATTTGTTGTCAGCTATGTTAAGCGCCCACAAAGTGTTTGGAATTGTTTTAAATGGAGCTGCGCAAAGGATTTCTGGGTAGCCATGACAATTATTTTCAACATGTGGCTTAGAGCTCACCACACCACACAGCAGCAGCACCAGCAGGAGCTCTCCTCACCGCGCGCGGATATGTGGAAAGGCTTATAATTTGAAAAGCAGCTAAGTAAATGGTGTGCACTCGATGCTGAGCCGCTTTGGCCAACAGATTGTTGGATCATTTTCCTCCAAGCTGGTTTTGTTTAACCATAAGGACATGGAAGGTAGCGCATTGTAGCTAAATCTCAAGAATCGTATTATTTTATTTGCAGCACAAGATGCTTAGTTATTTCTAGAGCTTATTGCTAATTTAATCGAATTGTGTGGCCACAAATAGATGCTCAAATTTCACAGCATGTTGTGATATTTAAAATAGTTTTTTAATCATAAATCCCAGCCCGCATGGCAGTCGTCTATCAATCTTCGTAGCGCAGGCAAACTGGTTTCTTTGACTAGAATATCAACGTCATCACATTGTAACAATATTAATAATCATGTGTTGTATTTTTCGGATACGCGTTTCAAATGGCAAATATTTATTATTGAAAAAGCGTGAGATTATTTGTTGACTTGATGTCAATACATAACAAAAGTATTAAATCAATTGAAACATTTATGAAAGATACGTTGGCTTGCGTATTTATTCTTCTATGCATAAACAAATATACTCATTTTCCTATATTGATTCGCTTTGAACTTGTTTTTCATCTTTTCAATAACAAAATTGCCAGCACCCTTTATCCAGACTTCATCTTTCATATTCACTTGCCCGTCGATTTCAATATTCTCTTTTATTGTCTGTGCTCTCGGCTATCTTTATGGCTCTGCCCAGCCTCAGTCCTTCCCCAGTGTCACGGAGCGAGCATTTAATGTTCGCCTTGGGCACGCTTAATAAATTCAAAATAAAACGCATTTGACTCACGCGATTCGCACAGCCCACAATAACATTCTCAATGGCAATGGCAATGGGGTTCCCGGAATTGGTCTCCTTCCCTCTCTCCCGCTCTATCTCTCAGTCACTTTCTCCTGCCGCCTCTCTGAGCCTGCGAAGCTTTTGGTAAATTTCACACAAATTGCCGCATTACCAAGTCTGTCTGACTGTCTGTCTGTCTGTCTGTTTGTTTGTCTGTGTGTGTTTGTGTGCACTGATTGAATTATAAAATTTGCAGCTGAACAAATGTGACCAGCCATATCAAATGGTTACACACACACACACACCAGCGACACCCTTCCACTACCCGTACCCCTCTCTCCGTCTGCCAGCCAAAAACGGACAGGCTCTTTGGCAGCGACGTTAAACTAATCAACTAATTTGCTATGAACTTTGCGGTCTGCACAAATTAGAGCGCCATTCTCGGGGCAGGCCAGTGCCCGTTAAGGGGCAGGAAGAGGAACAGAGGAACAGGGCCAAGTAACCCAGCCAGCCATAGCATTAACATTAATTATTTTCTGCTTCATGAGCATTTTAGATGAACATGAATTGGAGACTGGAACGAAGAAGATGTGCACCCGGCTGCTGCTGCTGCTACTGTTCCCGCTGCTCTATGCTCAATGTTAACCGGCGCTTTCATCCTTAATTAATT